TCTATAGATATTTTAAATTCTAAAGGAAGCAGATTGAATTTTTTCCAGTTAAAGTTATAACCAGAATATAAATTATTTTGCTACACAGCTTCATTAAATTGTGGTAGTAACTTTGAATAATTATCCAAAATAAGAATTATATCATCAGCACATAAGAAAGGTTTGTATTCAGTATCATGCCATCATACCCTTGATATATTGAGATTGTCTAATGAAAGTAACTAAAGGTTCAAGAACTAGAATAGAGGAGATTGGGAGCATCCTTAATGGGTACCACAGTATAGCTTAATAGGTTGAGGAACAAATCCATTTTTTGTGATCTTGGCTGTATGATTAAAAAAAAACTAAATTGTAATCCAATGGACAGAAGATGATGGAGACCAATATATTTTTAGAAAACACTTCATAAATTCTATGTGGACCATATCAAAGGCCTTTTCATCATCTAACAAAATTCTAACTTATGTGTCATTATGTCCAAGATGTTGATTGCCAATGAATATTATCAGATGTTTATCTGTTTTTTATAAATCTGACTGAGATGAATGTACTCTCCTGGCTAATGCTAATATTTTGGGGTCTACATTAAGAGATAATATTGGTCTATATCTGGTATATCTGCTAGGGTCTTTTTCAAACTTTAATATTCCTGTGATGTAGGCCTCATTAAATGAAAGAGGCCTTTTGCAACTTCATAGATTGGATTCTGTCGATAATTTCTTGCAATTACAGTGGCTGTGCCAATTTTTATATTATTAAATCTCTTCCCTTTCAGTATTTTGTCCCAAAATAATAATTTGTGGTATAGTTATAGATGATTCCAGTTCATATAGATGAATATAAAAATAGAAAACCTGCTAATTAATAGAGTAATATGGGCCAGTTAGCCTGAACTCCTGATATAAACTTTCATTGTTTTTGTTCTTTCAGCCAGTGAGCCAATAACTTTTTAGCTTTCTGCTTCCAAATAATTCTAATTAATACATTTCAAATAATGAGATTATTCTGAATGTTGTTTTGCCTCAATCTAATTTTAGCTCTAAAAATACTCTGTATAATTCATCTGTATAATTCATCTGTCTTGCATAAGGCAAGTAAGTTTTTAACCTTCTTTCCAGTTGTACAAGATTGAAATGGCTAAATCTCTTTTTTGCTGAAGCAACAGCATTAATAAATGCCTTAAATATGTCCCCAAAGATTAACTAGTTAGTGGAACCTCTGCTTGTTTCAGACAGACAAATTCCCTTCGTGATGTATTCTACAAAAGAAGAATAACTTCTTGGAAGATATTCAGATATCAGATAAACATTGACACCATGCCTGAAAAGTGTTCCATAAGTTGGGTGTCAAAGCCAAAAAGTTACCACCTATCTGCCATTTTTGTTCTTTTGTTCTGCTTTAATCTGCTCAATAATCTGGGTAAATTATAAAGTGCTTTAAAATATTTAAAGTGTAAAAGAATAAAAACAATATAACAGCAAACATCTGTCTAATCTCTGAAGATGAATAAAGGACCACAGAGAAAGACCCACATGTGCAGACAGCTTCATATAAGGGAGTGGATGTTATTCAGGAAATCAAATTCCAAACTATATATGACTTCAGATCTAAATACAAGTGCTTTAAATTGCACTAAGGAACAAGACAGACACTACTGAAGCTATTAAAAACATGGCTGATCCTAATTAATAATAGTAGCAGATCTTTGGAGTAGAGGATAGTAGTATACTTTATTGATTAGTCAATTGACCATATCAAAGCACAGGTGTCAGCCACAGTAAGATACAATAAAATGAAATAAAGTGAGGTTTAATAAAATAAGATAAAATAGACTACAGTGAGATAAAATAGATAAAATATAGTAAGGTAAGATAAAGTAAGGATAAAAAGTAGAAAATAGTATAAGATAAAATGGAGTGCAGAGATACATAATAAGATATTAAAATTTGAAAACAATATGTGTTTAGGTGAATTCATCACCTTTGCATGCGACCCCAGTGTGTTCTATAAAACATGTTCTCTGTTGGACTATAAACTTAACAGTTCTAGTAACTAGATATTTGTGCCCTGAAGGAAATAAGATAATAGAGTCCCAATATATGGTTCTGTCAAGTAGTGTAAGTACTGAGCTCTTACTGATGCATGTAATTGATAGTTGAACAGGACATGTGCAATGTCTTCTATTTCTGATGCTCCACAAATACATGTTCTCTCACAATATGGCACTTGGTGGAATTGTCCGTATTTGGCCATAGAATTTGACTGCTCAAATCTTGCTCTGGCAAGAGTTATCCCATGGTATTGAGTCAAACTCTTTGTCAAGTGTTTTTCTGTTTGGAAGGAAGTAGATCTTTGGACCAACTGAAGTTACCAAAGATCCAAAGTTGCCTCACTGCATATTGCAGTAATTAGACCTAGACGTTATTATTAGGTGTTTAACAGCGGCCAAGCTGGAACCAGCCTCTTTGTAAACTAACGGATATTAGTTATCAGTTTCTACCCATTATCCCTTTTCTTTGGTCCATATCTGTATAATCTAAATATGATTACCTTATGCCAGACATCATGTACAGCCTAAAAGGATGGATGGAGTTATGACTGAAGATAAAGTGCCCTTTTCTGCTTTAATTAATGTATCATCTTTTTCAGGAGCAACAATGTTATATGCAGAGAAAGATTTAAATGAACTACTTATCTGTAAAGAACAAGAACTGAAAGAACTACAAGTTCGGCAGATGCATTTTCAGGAAACTACACTGCAAGAAACCCGAAAGCAGCTTCAAGAAATGCACAGCAAATTTAACAGTTTAAAGGAAGATTTCACTTATAACCTTAAAGTCCTAGAGGAGAGAGATAGAGAGTTGGAGCACTATGATACTTTATTCATCCAGTTGAAAATGGTTGAAAATGCTAACCAGGTAGAGGTTAGTGACCTTAGAATACAGGTGGATAAGCTGCAGCAGGCACTTGCTCAGGAAACAAAAAAACAAAAGGCTTTCAAAGATCAATATCAACAGAAACTGAAAGAACACCAATTAGCGTTGGGGCAGCTCCATAGGTAAGATAGTTCAATTCTGCCTGCCAAGTATGGGCTTTAGGGTCTAGGGTCTATAGCCTTCTTCCTTTTGTCCAGCTTACTGGTGATTATTGTATGATAGAGAAATTTTAGTATTAGATGCTAAAGCTACAAAGATACTCTTGGGAAAAAAAGAATGCTGCTAACATTGCTATTCTTATGACATTTTTTAAAAGTATTATTTAATGCAGATGCTCTGAATCCTTCCCTACCTCATTTAATAAGTTATAAGTAGGAATGAATTTATTTATTCATTAAATATATAACCCACTGCATCTCAGCAACTCCCAGTGGTTTACAACAATTACATAATACATCAAGTAAAATGTCCATGATAAAATAGAATACACATTTAATTAATTAATTAGAACAACAATGCTGCAACTAAGATAGAATGAAACAATCATAATTAACCCCCCAAAGCCTTTCTCCAGATAGACTGGTTGGAACTTGACTGAAAATAGCATGTAAAGGAGTTATACATGGTAATGCATTTTTTTATTTTCAAAATTGTTGCCCCAGAAATCTCAGTATGGTTAAAGAAGCTTCTAGGGTAATCCCTTATTTTCCAATGAAATGGATATGGGCAGAGTAAGGAAGTAGCATGCAATTTTGCTGGTCCCCAAACAGCAAATACAAGCATTGGCTGGGTTTAAGCCTTAAACTAAGTCATAGTACGGGTTGTTTGCATTTGGTTTAGCATGGACTGTGGATTCACATATTATAGTTGGCATAAATCTGTGTTGCTCATAAGCTATGAAATGCCCTCCTTCAGCTTCCCCTTTCTCTACACTTACAAAAGGAGTCACAACTTTTCTTTTTAGCCAGTTTGAATTAATACTGAGATTAGTTTTATTGCTAGCTACATTTCTGCCCTCTGAGCAGAAATACAAAGTTTAAATTAAATTAAATAAAAAAATTAAACAAACCAAGCTGTTATAGCTTGTTCAACTACCTTTGGGTAAAAGAATCCTGATTCAGAATTATCTGTAAATGCAGCCACTCTGTGCCTTATCCTTCCAATTTGGAATGAGAGTTTGGCTAATATATTCTAGCATTGGAGTCAGATGTAAGCTACAGGCTGACAGTTGGCTATGCCATCCCTGTGCTAGAATCCATTTTGCTAGATCCACTAAGGTCTTGTTTGCAAAACATGTGTAATCCAGTCAGGCACTAACTGTCAGATCTCTTTATCTGTGGTTCTAACATCATAAAGTTATGTAGGAAGTGAATCAAGAGTTACCATTTTAGGAATATAAAGTCCACATCCACTTGTACAGGAAGTGCCACCATAGGAATACTAGGAAGGTTTCATAACTTCAGCTACCACTATCCAGAGCACTGACAAAAAAGAAACAAAACAAAATAAACCAGATTTTCCTCCATGCTCTGATTCACATAAGAACTTAAACCTCACATTCATGCTGACTGCTTGTTGCTCTGTCTTCCAGCAGTTCCCACCATTTCGCATCTTCCTGCAACCTGGCTGCGTAATACAGAAGATAAGACACCAGATGGAACACTGAAAAGCCAGCATGTTCAGTTGCTGTTAGGAATCTAGTAGTGAGTCCTGTAATGGAGGACCTGCTTTTCTCAGCCAATCTGTAGTCCCAACACTTTTTGTTGGAGAACTGAATAGGGAGGACTAGGCAACTGCCATGCTTAGAAATGAATTACTATGTTTATGTGATGTGGCTGAAACTGGAGTGCACCTTAACCCAAAACAAAATGGCAGTTGGGATTAAAGCTGCTCTTAACTAACCTCTCAGCTAATTGATTTTAGATAATCACATGACATGCCCCAGTCATAATTCGTTAAACTTACATGAAAATAACTATAAATTATGGTCTCTGGTAGCTGTAATGAATTGATTATTCTTACCACATATATTGTCAAAGGTTCATACCAGGTATGGCAGCTCTTTTCCTCATTCCCAAGCAGACACAAGGTTAGATAAGTAGATTTATTGCTAAGAATTAAGAAACCATTAGAGGTATGCAGTATTCAGAGCCAAAGCATAAAATGTACTTCAGATCCAGTGTGTGCTTACTGTACCTGTTGTCCATTGTGATTCTGTCATGTGAATTTATATGGTCAGGCCACCTATCTTAATCAAATAACTGTGTGCCTAACATAACCCTCACACATACACACACACCCCAAATAGAAAATACAATAAAATATATCAGGTAAAAATAATCAACTTGTCAATCAGCACAGGGCAAAAATACAAACCAGGCTCCACTAACGTTCTTGTCCTAAAACCTGAAGGAAGAGACAGGTTTTTAAGGCCTTTTGGCAGAACAACAGGGTCAGGGCCATCTAAACCTCAGGGGTGAGGCTGTTCCACAGATCAGGCACCATGACAGAGAAGACATGTTTCCTATGTGTTATAAGATGACACTGTTTCACAGAAGGGATCTGGAGCATGTCCACGCCACGTGGACATGCTCCAGATGGTGGGATACACAGAAACCACTTGAAACAGGTGATTGCTCAAAATCCTGGCCCATGCCATATGGAGCTATATTGGTGATAACCAGCACCATGAATTGTATCTGGAAAACTACTGGAAGCTAGTGCATTCATGTAGCAGTGGTGTTACATGGGTGTGTTGTGGTGCACACTAAACTGCCCACAACACTCCATTCTGGACCAACTGGAGCTTCCAAATCCTCTTCAAGGGGAGCCCTACATACAGTACTGCTGTAGTCCAACTGAGAAGTGAGTGAGACATAACTGACTATGAACATACCTCCCAATCCAGAAACAGAACTGGCATACAAGATGGATTTGCAAAGGACCTTGTGGCCATAGCTGCCAGCTGCAAACAGGAGCTGTGAGTCCAGGAGGATTCACAGATTGCACACACATTCGTTTTTAGGGAGTGGTATCCTATCCAGAGTTAAGGATAGAAGTTCTCCAGTTCCAGGGCTCCTAAGAGTCGCAACCACTCGGTCTTGCTAGGGATGAGTCAAAGCCTATTGCTTCCCATTGAGACCCTCACAACCTTCAGGCATTGGGAAAGAACCTTGACAGGATCACTTGGGTGGCCTAGGGCACAAATATGTAAATGAGTATCATAAACATACTGATGATACTTAACCCTGTGCTGACAGATGGCCTCACCCAGTAGCTTCATGTAGACATTAAGTTGGAATGGAGAAAGAAATGCATTTCTGTCAGATCAGTATTGCTCTTTTTGTTACTAATTCCATGATTTCATAGTTCTAAAGATGCCGATATCAACCATTATCGTGAGGAATATGAAAATGTGAAACAACGATTGGAGAGAAAGCTCCAGGAAGTAGAAGGTGAACTTGCTTTGCAAAGACAGGTACAAAAGGCATAACAAGCTGTTTAAATAGGGAAACATTTACATTTTCCTTTCAGTAAACAAAAAGAATGCATTGTATTCAATATTCTGAAGTATTTCCCTACCACTATCCTACCCCTATCCAGTTCAACTTATGGTGATTTTATTAGACATCTTACATTAAATAAAGATATGCATAGCAGTGGGAATAACTGAAACTACTTTATCATTCTACATATTAGGCAATAAGTGCTTTACTTCCCAACATGGCATTCTCCTCTTGGAAAAATTGGTAGGATTATTTCTAGTAAAATGAGATGGTGTAAAACACTTTACACAGGGGTACAGCCAAAATGCTGTGCTAAATTTTCCAACCTTGAATTTCAGGAAGGTCATTACTATAAATCAGAAGCAGCTTTAGGCAGTTGCAAAGGCTAAATAAACACTCTGGCCTGTGCCAGCACTCAGTGCTTCTCTGATTTCAGGATTTCAGCTTTGTAACTTTAAAAAAACCTGTTGACTAACTTAAGGCATTTTAACTATTTATTGATACATTTTTTACTGTATACTACTGTCAGTTGATTTCAGGGTAGGAACCTTGTTATGATATGTAAAGAGGTATAAATATTTTGAATAGAAAAAAGTATATTTCAAGGGATTATTTATAGGTTTTCCAAATAACAACAAAAAGAACATAAAAAATTATACACCTGGCAAGCATATGGATGAATAATATATTCAAAAGAACAGGGCTATAGCCACATTAATAGAAATAGTAATGTTTCTGAAATATAAAAATAATTGTTAGGATTGTAGCAGAGCAGCATAAATAAAATATCTGTAAAATATCTTATGTTGTTTAGCAATATGACCTTCAATGTTTTTCTGCTCATGTTCTATTATAGTACTCTGGGGCCAAAATAGCCCTACCCCCAGCCCCTCAAAACCTACTGAAGCTGAGAAGACTAGCGATTACCTGTAGTCCTAATTTACAAAAAAACCTCTTCTTTCCCATGTACTTAATACATTGTAAATTGTAATACTCTTTTTTTAAAAAAAAGTTATTTGTGAGCCCTTGAAGGTTTCTTTATTCTATAGTCTTTTATGAGATTACTATATCACTACAATTGCATATGTTTCATTTCAGGAACTTCTTGCAGAAATTGATACAGAAATGAAGAAAAGAGAGCATGAGTTTCGAAAGAAGGCAGATGAAATGAGCAATTTTGTTCTATCCCATGAGCTTAAGGTAACTGTGCCCTCAAGTGTAAACTAGACATGTAAAGCAGATATGCTGTGGTATTATTCACACTTTTTTATTCTCATACACTGAGATCATGCCCTGTTTTCATGACCAGGCAAACTTATTCCAGCTATTATAAGGAGTAATATAAGGAGAACTATTTTAGGAAGCAGCTTCCTGAAACGATAATGGTTTTATCTATTGGCCCACCATTTTAGATGGGTGACAGAGGAGAGGAGTAATTATTTTTATTCCTTAATTCAGATATAACAGTGTCTAACATTGGCATACTTGGAATTAATGTTATTTCTGAATTGAGGAAGGTGCTTTAATGAACAGTTATTAAAAACATATACAAATCATCCAGTTTGTCCACTCTGTTCTATATGCAGGCAGATTACATGCAGACTATATACAGACATTAATCTTTAATGGGAACAGTAACTAACAGTGCCATTAAGGTGTTTATTCAAAAGTAAGTCTTATAACTTTAATTGGTCTTGAATTATGTTTTGAATTGCAGCCTAACGCAATAAAGCAGAGGAAAACTGTCGAAAAATAGAAACTGGTGGAGAAAGGAAGTTCGTAAGGCTATAGAGTACTGTAGAGATGTATAAGGGACTGATGCTATGCTGTGGGGGTGGGGGTGGTGGAGAGCAACATTTTTGGGCTGGAGGCACAAATACAGAATTTTAAAAGTATATGATAGGCAACTCACAAAATACCTGCTACAGAAGGTTTGCCTATTCACAAAATGGCTACCATGTTGGGCATGCCCCATCATATAACATCCATTTACCAGAAGATGAATTAGCTTCTCAAGGAGGATCTTGTGAAAATGAAAGGCTTTCCTGTAAATAAAGATGGTACTGAATGCTGGTGCTTTGCAACGCAACATGTCAGGTTCATGTATAATATTTTAAAATCAAATCATTTTTTTCAAAATCAGGTGAGGGAAGGAAACTGATGGGTACTACAGGAGATGTTGAGAGACACATTTTAGACATTTAAAATAACTTAATTTGAGCAATATCTTTATAGATCTCCAAATAAATTATTTGGGGGGAAGGAGTTAAAACATGTACATATATTTTGTTTACCAGTTCACCTTTACGCCAGCTGGAAAGTATCACAGAATTATAGAGTTTATAGTATAGTATACAGATAACTTTAGCCATCTAATCTAACCTACTGCTATTATAGGAATCCATATTAAAGCATCTCTGACAAATGAATGTTTAGCTTCTGCTTAAACACATCCAATAAAGAAAAACCAGCTACTTATTTGGGTAATTGTATCCACAGTCAAACAGCTCTTACTATTCAGAAAAGGGTGGTCAGGTCAGATAACATGTTCATATTATTTGCATATAAAGAAAAACTCCTGATTCAAAGCCATTTATTTGCTTTTAAGTTTCCTTGAGTGCCCTGGTTCTCCATGTGTACTGGCCTCCAGAGACAAAACAGCTCATATAACTATGAAGTATCAGTTCAGGCACTGTTCCAAGAAATAGTGGAAACTAATTTGTAACTCACTTCAGACCATAACTGTTGATTATGGCATACCATCTTAATCAATTAAGATATTATAGACTATAGAACCAGTCTTTTATTTAAATATTGTAGAATTTATCCAACACAGATATACTTCAGCCCAATTATTATTATGCTGAACTATTATGTTTTCATAGCACCAGCTCTAAATTTTTTAGAAGTTTGTTTTAAACATCAATGATTTTTTTTGCAGTTTTTCTGTTCCTCTTTACATTAATCCAGCATAAATATGGGTAAATAGTAATTGGAAAAATAAAATAGTTCAGTTAAGCAACATATACACATATACATTTATTTCCCAGGCAAATTTTACATTATTGTATCATTACTGATTATTAAAAAAATCCCCTCTCACCCCTATGGGTGGTATGTGTCTTCCTCAATCTTGGGTCTTCTGCCAGATGCCTGGGAGTTTAAGGGTTCTATGCAGTATCTTAGCTGTTCCTAGAACTGCACTTTTCTGGACAGAGAGTTCTGATGTTGTTCCTGGGATCTGTTGAACTCTTGCAGCTTAGGAGTCACAGCCCCGAGTGCTCCTACCACCACCAGGACCACTTTGGCCTTTACTTTCCACATCCTCTCTAGTTCCTCCTTCAGGCCCTGGTAGTTCTCCAGTTTGTTATGCTTCTTCTTCCTGATGTTGCTGTCACTTGGCACTGTGACATCTATCACCACCGCTGTCTTCTGGTTCTTGTCTACTACCACAGTGTCTGGTTGATTGGCCAGTACCTGCCTGTCCATCTGGATCTGAAAGTCCCACAGGATCTTAGCCCTGTTATTCTCCACAACCTTCTGTGGAATGTCCCATCTGGACTTGGGAGGGTCTAGCTCATACACTGTGTACATGTTCCTGTACACAGTGCCAGCTACTTGGTTGTGCCATTCAGTGTATGCTGTTCTTGCCTGCTTCTTCCACCCTGCCACTATGTGTTGGACTGTTTCTGAGGCCTCTCTGTACAGTCTGCACCTTGGGTCAAGTCTAGTGTGGTAGACCCCTGCTTCCATGGATCTGGTGCTTAATGCCTGTTCTTGTGTTGCTATGATCAGTGCCTCAGTGGTGTCTTTTAGTCCGGCCCTTTCCACCACTGGTAGAATTTCCCAATGTCAGCCACCTCAGCATTTTGTCAATGGTACATCACATGCAGGGGCTTGTCTTGTCATGGCACTTCCTCTGCTTGAACCTCCTCCCATGTCTGCTGCTACCTCAG